CCCGGGCACCTTCATTGCGCATGCTCACTCATGACTATATATAGTGAAGCGGCGATGGTTTGCATTCATTCAAAAGTCGCATTTAGAGCAGAAAGGTCTGATCTTCCACACCCACCTCACCCCTGTTCTTTATATTTTGACTCTTTTTACTTGTATATGTTTGTATGTGTTATCTCCATTAGAATTTATATTCTAATGTGAAAGGGGAATTCCACCTCCCTTTTGGTCTGTGTCTATTGGGAGAGGCGAGAATTAAGGGTTATGGCAATTTATGATCATAATTATGTATAGTGAGATTGCTGACACTGCTACTATGTCCTATGTTCTACTATGGGACATAACATCTTCCATGTAATCTTTCAGAGTCTATACAGTTTATGGTTTTAATGTTTGCCTACCTTCCTCCTTTCCCTTTGTGACATTGACTTGGGAATAAAGGTGGTTGAACCCGTTAAGGCACACTACATATGTAGTGTGCCTCTAGGTTGGAGTACATTCAGTGGATGAGTTGGATCTCATTGTCGGATTGTTCATCTATTGGATTTAGTTGAGGTAAGACCTAAAGGATTAATAGATATTGTGCACACATGGGTGTGACCAGAATAGGCGTGACTGGAGACGTACGTACATACATACATACATACGGAGGGAGGGAGGGAGGGAGGGAGACTTCGCCTGAGTGGGGCGAGCTTATGCTCGCCCCAAATATGTAATAAATACTAAATACTAAAATAACAAAGTTTGTAAAATATTAAAATACAAATACAAATCAATATTACGATAAATTCATCCTATTATTATTATTGACCACTAGTCTTGTCGATGAGACTAATTCATATTCCAATTAAGTGTTTGAGTTACTAGAGAAGAAATGAAGAATGTGACTACACGAGTATTAGCAGTGATTTTAGAGCCAAATAGCTGTTGTTCTTTTTCAAAAATCGGCTCAAACTTTCTACATAGCATAAGTACATCAATATCTATCAGAAAATGTAATAAAAATTAGGGGTGATTTCGGACTCATTTTTTGGAAAAAACCATGAGCTATAGTACAGGAAAATTTTCAGAAATTGGCTCATTTTTTAAATGGCTGTAACTCAAAAATTTTACTTTGGAATCAGCTTAAACTTTCTACATAGCATAAGGACATCAATATGTATCAGAAAATGTAATAAAAATTGGGCGTAATTTCGGAGTCATTTTTTGGAAAAAACCATGAGCTATAGTACAGGGAAATTTTCAGAAATTGGCTCATTTTTTAAATGGCTGTAACTCAAAAATTTGACTTCGGAATCAGCTCAAACTTTCTACGTAGCATAAGGACATCAATATACATTAGAAAATGTAATAAAAATGAGGGGGGGGGGGATGAGGTCCTACTGATAAGTCAATACTGACTGTCCTTATCCACTGCTATTACTTTACACAGTATGATACTAAAGAGAGAGAGAGAGAGGGACGTCATAAAATAGATGTCAAGGTAGGATGTAGGACACACATAGGATATAGTCTGGCTGGATTACCTAGGATAAAGGATGTGGTCACTGGTCACACTGTAGTCTGCCAGTAAAGTTAACTCATTGTTGCTATGAGCCTGTTCCACACAAAGTTACTTCAACTGCTATCATATTCAGGAGGGAGACAGGTATAAAGATCAAGAACAGCTAGTGAAGTGAGCAAATTGATGATACTTATGTAGCCTAGTAAAATGGAAACAAAGTCCATTCATGCCTCGATTCATGCCCTGGCCTGATCACAATCGGCAGTATACGGAGAAAATTGCTCAGTATACTAATCCGTGTTCACTCATTTCATTTTCTGGACATGTGAGACCTCGTGTGAGACTGAGTTGCACGTTGTCATGTCTGGAAGAAGAACTAGCCTTGAAGAGCCTTCCTCTTCTGAAGAGGATGCTCAACTTACTCTTTACCACGACAACAAAGGTAGTCTAGGTAATGAATACAGTCTTTGTGATATAGAGCAATCCGACTTTAACTTAACTTTAGAGGACAATTGTCGAATATCCTTTCCAGTGAGAGGTCTTACCAAGTCCTCGGGTCCAGTTTTTGAAAGTTTTTTTCAAATAAAAGACATTGAAAGGAAATTCGAAAGAGGTACGTACATTATACTGACTAATGAAGTGTTCTAATTATTGCCCCCCTCAGTGTCTCGCTTGTTTTGTGAAGGGGAGAATTTTAACAAAATCCAGTTAATTCTGGATATAAACACACAACTGTACCCCATGAGTGTTGGAGATAACATTCATTTTCTTTTGACCACCACACTAGGAGCAGACCATGAAGACTTCCTCACAGTGACAGGTACCCATTGGTCAAGGGTAACGGGTAATAGATCTTTAAATGGCTGTAACTTGAAAATTGAAGTCAGAATAGACCACCAGAGTGAGAATTGCAAAAACTATGAATTTCATTAATTTTATATACGATATCTGCCCACACGCCATAATTTGGCTGCCATTTTGGTTGGCAAGTTTGTTAAGGAAGTCAATGGAGGCACGAAGAAAATGCCTCACATACCTGCTGTAGCTCTATCAATAGCTAAAAATTGCTTGTTATAAGAAAGAATAGCTACCATTAAGCTTCTCCTGTGAAAGATTTGGTCAAATTCGCTCCAGAATTCTTAATACAGGTTTGTTTTTATGTCGTCCCGTTTGTTCTCCATTGAAAGTTGCCAACCAAAATGGCGGCCAGAATTTATTTCATCCTAAACCACGCCTTACAACCGTAATAGTCTTCCCACGCAAGCAATTCTCACTCTGGGTGGTCTATCAGCTCAAACTTTCTACACAGCATAAGTACATCAATATGTATCAGAAAATGTAATAAAAATTTGGTGTGATTTTGGAGCCATTTTTGTACAGGCGAATTTTAAAAATTGACTCATTTTAAAAATGGCCCTAACTCAAAATTATTCTCATAATTAAATGTATTATATTTTTGACAGATGGTGCCCCCTCCTCCTTAGCGGATGCTTTTGAGTATATCATGCATGGCAAAATTTATAGATTAGAAGGAGCTGAGGATTCATTGTGAGTTAAGAAGAGATTATTGGGGTGAGCATGAGCATAGCCCCGGTCCCGATTGAGGCCTTGCGATATGTATTCTGTATGCCGTCTAATATTAAAATTGGTTGGAAATGCTTCCTCTTTTAAGTGTAAAAAGAAATATTGAAATAGGACAGTATGAGGGTGTGGTCACAATAAACAAGATGGCGGCGTTTAAACGGGACAAA